AGTATCCACTTATGAGTGAGTACATACCATGTTTGTCTTTCTGAGTCTAGGTTACCTCACTTAGAATGATATTTTCTAGTTCCATCCATTGCCTGCAAATTTCATGATGTCATTGTTATTTACAGCTCAGTAGTATTCCATTGTGTAAATGTATCACATTTTATTTATCCATTCTTCGGTTGAGGGGTGTCTAGGTTTTTTCCAGGTTCTGGCTATTATGAATAATGCTGCAAGGAGGAACCTAACTGTCATGATAGAGCCTTCATCCAGTAACTGATGGGAGCAGATGCAGAGATCCACAACCAAGCACCAGGCTGAGCTCCGGGAGCCCAGCTGAAGAGTGGGAAGAGGGATTATATGAGCAAGGAGGGTCAAGATCATGATGGGGAAATCTACAGAGACAACTGAATCAAGCTGGTAGGAACTCATGAACTTTAGACCCACAGTGGTGGAACCTGCACGGGACCGGACTAGACCCTCTGCAGACGGGAGACAGCTGTGTAGCTGGGTCTGTTTGAGGGGCCCCTGGCAGTGGGATCAGGATCTATCCCTGGTGCATGAGCTGGCTTTCTGGAGCCCATTACCTATGGTCAGACACCTTGCTCACCCTTGATGCAGGGAGGAGGGGCTTGGTCCTGCCTCAACTGAATGTACCAGGCTTAGCTGTCCCCGCATGGGAGGCCTTACCTTGTTGGAGGAGTGGAAGGGGATGGCTGTGGGGGAGATGGAGGAAGCAGAAAGAGGGATGGGAGGGGGATCTGTGGTTGGTATGTAAAATGAATAAAAAAAGAATGGTCAAACATATGCCATGCATGCCATCTTTCTACCTCCTCCTTACTTCAGTGTGCCATAGCTCTAACCATGATCATTCATCTTCAGTGTTAGAATGACCTCCTGCTTGAGAAGAAATTGGGTGTAGAGTTTGGAAATGAAGTCCGATGAATTACTGAACATTTATTTTTAGGGTAATGGGGAAACTTCCAGAGTCAACTCTTTCTGAGAGCACATTAAACCAAATGTGATGATTGGTGGATTATTAGCAAAAGAGCCCAATTGCTAATTACATAAATTAGTAGAGGAGATTGTTGGGTAATTTTGTGGACTACAGAAGATAAAGCACTACTGAACTTTAAAGACAGAAAATACAGCTTATGCAGTTGTTAATGAACACACTTCTATCATTTCTCTCTATGAAACTGTATCAAGAAAAAGGACAATTCTAAGTCAGTCTTATTTAAACAATCAATTATTTTCACCAGTTGAAAGAAACATTTTCTTAATAAAACAATTGCACTTATGTCCTGTTTCCCCTGTGACCTATCCATGACAGTTCTTCTCTAATTGAGCAGTTTTCTAAATGCCCTTATTTCTGACAAGGGGTCAGTGTTTCAGGGAGTCAGACACTGTATGAATAAATCACTATATGTGTAATCAGTTATGAGCATGTATTCGTGGCATGTCCTTTTCTGAATGTCACTGCTCAAGCAGTGGCCAGCTGTATGCATTCTGCCTTAGTAATCTCCCACCAGTACCTAGCATAGGGCCTTGGCATGACAGGTACTCAGTAAGTTAGTGTATAAGCTAATATACTTCAGGTAACTAATTCATGAATAATTAATACCTAAATTAAAATGTTATAATATTACAAAACAATTACAAATGCTATGTAGTCTTGAGTGTTATAAATAATACATTTCAATTATATTATAGTATTTGCTCAATCCTACCACATTGAATGGCTATACTATTGATGTTATCACATAGTAAAACATCAAATAATGAGAATGTAGCATAATTACTTATGATGACCAGTTCATACTGCAAAATATTTATTTACTGAATACCTAGTATTTTTCTGGCCACTGTGCATACAGAGTAAGCCAATAAGAAATGCTTCCTTCCCTGACAAGACCAGGTTGCTGTCCTGCACTAGCAGAATTGGTGGGTGTTCTTCTTTTGCATCTCTTTGATAGATGTTGTCTGATTCCTACCCATTTTCTGGTTCATCCTGACCCTGTCAAAGTCTTGGAAAAGGAGTGCAATAGTCTTTTCAACCAACTGGATTCACTTAGCTTAAGAGAAGCCATTTCTCCTCACTCCTCTTCTCCATTTCCTGAGTGTTTCCCCCTCTCTTCTTTCTTCCATGTAAAATCAGTTGTCCGAGGTGACTGTCTCCCACTCTTAATGTGGGTGAGGAACCAATCAGAACACTCTCTCCACACCTGGGATGCCTTTTCTTCAGGGCTCTTCACCAAATGTGAGGCTAATGGGTTGTACATCTTTCTATCACACATTTTGGGTTGCCCCGGCTTTATATTTTAATATTCTTGTTTAGCTTTCTAGACGTTGCCTCACTTGACAAACATGTCTGACTATGTTTCCTCTTATGAGAAAGGAAGTGCTGTGGTTGAGGGCTGAGACCTGGAGCACACCATCTGGGTTTGGATCCTGACTTTACCACTTCCTAACTGTCATGAAGGCAGCTTGATTGCCTCCTGAGTAAGGAGGGAGTAACAGCTTGCCTCAGTGTGGGGATGAAGCAAGTCCAGTAGAGCCTACGACACTTAGTCACCAGAATGCAAGAAGCACTTGGCAATGCCAGAGCTGCCATTCACATCCTCGGGTCAGTTAACTGACCTGCCCTTCCCCTTCCGGTCCTGCTGCCTTATACACAGCCCTCTGCCTTGAACTAACTCACAGTCCAGCTCTGTTGTGATTTCTACCAGCCACTAAAGTCTTGGTTATCTCTCATTTCCAGAAACTTCTACCTTCCATCTACTCACTTGGATTTGCTCACTGATTCCCAGTTCACCCAAATGCTACTTAACTCTGTCTTCCCCGAGTGTGTGCACAGCTCTCCTCAGGGCTTAGAAACTTCTTTGCCATTTAGCGAACTGATGTCCACAAGTTCCCTAAAGCCTCCCTTTATTATTCTAGAACCTACAAATCCCAGCTCACAGGCAAGCAAGACGGCTCAGTAGTTAAAGGGCTGGGCGTGCAGGCCTGACTGTAAGTTTGGTCCTCAGAACCTATGTAAAAGTAGGAGCAGAGAACTGACTCCACAAGCGGTCTTCTGATACACACACAAAGTTGAAAAAGAAACAGAAAAGATCACAGTTCTCAAGCACCTCCCCACTGCTCCCACAGGAAACCATGTAAATCTGCTAAAATTCGTGAGTATTTATCCAGATGCTTAATGAGAACCTTTATTGAAATGTCTTATTTTTTTTAATATGGTAACCCTTCAGCTACATTATAAACTTCTTAAAGGTGAAACCACCACCAAAGGAACCCTTTGAATACCATATGTATAAATTCATTTAATCTGCATCTTAAAAATTATCTGCCCTTATTTTGTGTTCAAGACAGAGGGAAATGAAGTCATAGAAGAGTACCTTTAGCATAAATCTAAATATAGAAAGCATACAATAACTGCTACATGCATGGGTTACCCAAAGTATTACAACCTTGCTCTAACTTCATGAATGATTTATAAATATCTACTTTTGTTGAATAAGGTGCTTCATTTTTGCTACTTCATTTGAAAATAGCGTCCTCTGAAAGGAAACTGGGATGCTGCTGCAGGCAATGACAGTTAGTTGGTCCTCATTCTGTGCATGTACTTGGTGGAGAGACTTCTGCAAAGCAAAAGCACATGTTGTGGATACCGTCTCTCTTAAAGCATTAATGTATATCCACACTGAGAATCAGCTAATAAAAGATTGTGTCTTTGAGACTTGCTTATTGCTAAAACAGAAATAGGCTAGAATAATTGGCCTTTGGAGGATCCAAAAAGGGCTGCTCAATTATAAATTCATACTACTCTAAGGATACTATAGAATACAGGGAATGCTAACGTGTGAAGAAGCTCAAGGCTCCACCTACAAGTCTGAAAGATAAGGTGCTTTTGCTCGCCCCAGATGTGCTGTTGTGTGGTGCCACAGCAAACTTGAGGATCCTTGAAGCTGAATGCATTCAATATCATCTAAATAATTTATGTATTTTCATGCAGAGACCCTCCGGAAGCCCCTAAAGTACTAATGCTCCAATTCCTCTTTCCCCCACTAATGCTCATAAGTGGGGGCGCTGTTAAAACTCAGACACCCCCCCCCAGGAAGCAGGGAGACCAGACAGGAGGCCAGACAGCTGATGTGCAATCCTCAGCCTTGGCTCACGCATTGACAGCACTCTGTGTCAGCTTGTTAGAAAATACATTTATCTCCTGCATCAAAATGTGACACGATCTTTAAATGTATTCTTACCTTCAAAGGCAAACATGTTTAACTTGGCGTTTACTGAGGTGGAAGAAATTTTAAAATGTTTCTATGGAAGGTAACTAAAAGGTTCTTTTAAAATGTGCAAGTTTTACTTAAAGCAAGATACTCCTGGGAAAACCGTTACTGTGACATCAGGTTGTGTCCGTTTATTCCAAGCAATTATTCCTGTCCTGTTGTACACATAAGGCTATGCTAAACAAAAAAACAAACTAAACTTTTGTTTAGAATTATTATGCACATATTGTATCAATACGTATTTACAGAAAAGACAGAGAATTTGCAATTGTATCGTATGTTCTCCTATGTGTATATATATGTCATGTATTTGTAACCATACTCTGAACATGTAATATAACTTCAATTACTATAATTTTTCTTTTGGTAAAAACACCCTGGTGTTTTGTCTATGCAGTAGACACATATGAACATGTCACTAGAGTAAAATGGTGTGTTGAGAAGAAGGGCATCGATGAATGTCAGCACATTCCTCAATGTCAGGACTGCGGTGTCCTGTTGGAAGCACGAGTCACAGAGTATGAAGTCATAATAGCCAACCATATTCACTCTTGGGTATTGTAGGCAACACATAGTGTTAAAATGGCATCGCATTTTAAGGTGTAGAGAAATGTCACCATTTCTTGGAAATAAGGAATAATAAACATGTATAGAGTATTGGGTGCTCTCATGACGATGACCTGGAGGAAGAATGAAGAAGCTTCCTACCTTCCATTGCCCTCTTGAAGAAGACCTTGCAGCTGCCACAGGTGAGCACTCCATAGTGACAGCCAGATGCTTCGTCCCCACAGATTAAACAGATCTTCTGAGGTAAGGAATCGAAGCCATACTGTGGGCTCTGGCTGGTTTCTGAATCTGGCCTTGAAATGCAAAACAGGCTCCATTTAGTTTTAGGTTAACTGGCATCTGGTAAAGAAAGCTTTCTTAAACCAGCATTGATGACACCAAAGATCTTTTTTTTTTTCATAGAAGCATATTATTTATTTACGTTTTTGGTTTGTGTTTCAGTTTTTTGATAAAAGTCTCCTATAGCCAGGTTGGCTTTAAACTTGCTACATACCAGAAACTGGTCTTGAACTCATGAACTTTCAGCCTCCAGCTTCTAAGTGCTGGGAATAGAGGCATTTGCCACCATGCCCAGTTTATTAGGCTCTGGAAACAGAGCTCTTGTCTTAGTATATGATAGATAAGCAACCTTTCTAGGAACTGGGCCACATCCTCAGTGTCCCAGGAAAACACACACACACACACACACACACACACACACACACACACACACACGCGCAGCGCGCGCGCGCGCGCACACACACACACACACGCATTTCAAAGTCAGGTGAACTAAACTCACTACTTCATATCATAAACTACCTATAACAGATTCATTGGACATGCAAATTATTAGCCATTCATTAATAGTAATAAAAGAAGAGCCAGTGCGTCCTTTCACGTTCAAAACAACTAGAAACTCTCATTTAAAAAGAGCTCCTTATACAGAAGTGATTTTGCCTTTGGCGGATGAAATATGACATCCTTCCTGAGTGCTGGGTCATAACAAGCACGACTGAGCCTTGGGAGTTTAACTGGACTCAGCAGTGGTTCCGTTTTGAGAACATAGCCCCGCAAGGATTGATTGCTCCAACATATAAATATAGATGTTATTTTAAGGTATTTGTTAACACACTGACTATTTTGCCTAGTCACAGCATGAGAGACTACAAACCGAGCATTCTTTTCTTTTCTCGTTCCATTACTCCAGTATGTGAAGTTAAATGTTTTTGAAAACACATATGAGAAAAATAGGGGTGTCTGAAGCAGCAGGAGGATGCTATATTCTGGCTGCACTGCCCTTGAGTTTAAAGCCACCTGGCAAACACTTCCCTCATACAGCTTACTTCACTCTTGAGATTTCTAGGAAAATTGGGCCAGAGACCTGACCAGATCCTTGGGGTGTTTCTGCTTTCAGTTCTGAAGTCACATTTAGGCCCCAGCCCTCCCAGAGGAACTATGCCTTTGCACCTCAGCCTCTCCAACACACACACCCAGGGTCCATGTCCTTCTTACCAGGTATTTATTGAATTCAATGAAGCCCCCAACCCACTAGACGGCATCCCGGCACCCTTATCCTTTTATCCTCAGGACAGTCAAAGGTCCTAGAGTGACACCACAAAAGTTTTGGACCAGGATGGTCCTGCTTCCGAAAGTTTTCAGACAATATTTGGGGATGGTGGTGGTGGGGGTCCTCAACAAAGCTATCTGCACCTCTTCTATGGCCCCTGAAAACGTAAGAAGAAGGGAGCACCGGAGAGAGGGTGTCGGGTCTCCAAGGCCTAACCCTCCCTCAGCCACCCTGCTACCTTGAGCTGCTGGAAGGGTGGAGCAGGGCAGGGCCGGAGGCAGGTGCTCACCTCAGGTAGTTGAGATAGGGCTGGTAAACCTGGGGCAGGCTGTCCTTGAGCACTGCGGCCTGGTAGCCCAGCTGCGGGAGCCCGTTGAGGCCGAGCGGCGGGTAGATGGCGGGGGCTGCCGAGGCGGCAGGGGCGGCGGGCAGGCCGTCCCTCGGGAGCAGGCAAGAGCCGGAGGCCGAGGGCTTGCAGGACAGCGGCGGGAACGGGCCTTGCGTGGGCGGCGCGCCCTCCGCTTTGTACAGGATGCACTCCAGCGCGGACCCCGAAGAGGACGCGGGCGACACTGCGGAGCTCCCGGGGCCGCCGGCCACCGCCGCCTCTCCGGGCCTGGAGGAGGGAGCTCGCGGCGGCGCCGGTGCCAGCGGGAAATCCGGAAAGGTGGCGGCGCTGGCTCCGGCCACCAGGTAAGGGCGCGGCGAGCGCGCAGCTGCCTCGGCGCCTTCCTCCTCCTCCTTGATCTTCAAGCCTGGCGGCTGGAAATCGCCATAGAGAGGGAACGCGTCCTCTTTGGGGTCGCCATCCTGCGGGTAGGTGCAGTCTGGGAAGTCGCCGCAGGGCACCGGCGGGGATGGCGAGCCTCGAGGCGGGGCAAAGGAGCCCTGGGCTGAGGCCCCGCCGTCGTAGCTGTCCCCCTCCAGCAGCTGCCGGGTGCGGGCGGCCAGGAGCGCGTGGTTGAGAGGCAGGATGGGCACGTGGATGAAATCCACCACTGTGGTGGCCAGTGGGGAGCGCCCGGGCGCCACAGGAGCGTCTTGCTCCAAGGAGACCCTGGGAGCAGAAAATCGGGAGTCTTCCTTGGGAACCAGGGTGACGCCTCCTGGAGCCGCCGCGGGCGCGCTGGCTGCAACTCCTCCTCCGCTGCTTGTGCCTTCCAGTGCTCGAGGTTTGCTCTTCAGAAGCGGACCCGCGGAGCCCTCAGTCTCTAGGCCACCGTTCTCCTCCACTTCCACCACAGATGACTGCGGAGAGGGCTTCACCCCTGCCCCGGGCCAATGGGCACTCCCTGAGGTCGGGAGCAGCAGCTGCCCGGGTGGTGACAGCCCCTTAGGCAGCACCTTCTGCCCCGCTCCTGTCCCGGAGCTGTCGCCAGCCTTGCTCTCTACCCGGCTCATGAGCGGGGACAACAACCCCTTGGTAGCAGGGACACTGCGGGGGTCTTCTGGAAGCTCTGATCCGAAAAGACACCAAGATGTGATGGCCTCGCAGGCTGGAGGGTTGCCGTGGCCCTGCTCGGTCCCCGAGGGCGCCAGCAGCGTGTCTAAGACACTGTCTAAGAGTCTGCTGTCCTTCTCCGGGGCTCTGGGGTTGCTGCCTCCTGCCCCACGAGTGGCTTCAGCTCCAGAGAAGGCTCCCTCCACCTCCGACAGCGACGGCTGGTTCTGTGCCTTTTCTCCTGGGAGCTCCGGACCCTGGCAGGACCGAGGGAAGAGCAGCCTGTCTTCCAGGGAGATGGATCCAGACGAGCCTACAGACGATGCGTCCGACGGCTGGCTCCTCTGGAAGGGACAGGGGTCCAAGCGTCCAAGCAAGGGGGACCCGACGTGGGTGGGGGAGGGCGCGGCTCCCGACGCGTGGGGTGCCCGCGGATCCTTTGCCTGCAGCTCAGTCATGACGACCCGAGCTCCCCTTTTCTCCTCCCCTGTCTCCAGGGAGGAGGGAAAAAGGAAGGAGGAGGGGGTGCTGGTGATATAGGGGCAGAAGGAGGGGGAAGTGGGTAGTGAATCGCAGGACCCGTGGGATCTCCACCTCCCGGTCGGGAGGGGCGGTGCTGGTCAGCTCCCGTCCTTACCCTCCACCCAGACTCAGAGGAAGGGTGGCAGTCGGGTGGCAGTCGCGCTGTCCCGGCGGTGAGTGAGGGTAGGAAGAAGTCGCTGGAGTAACTAGAGGAGTTCGTCAGAAGACTTTTCTGTGTTTGTCCGGGTGCTCACGCGTCCCGCGCTGGAGTGGCCGGTGCTGCGAAAAGGGCCCCTGCTACCCGCGGATCTGTGCCCTTGGTAGAAACCCGGGCATCTAGGAAGTCTGCATCACAGTCCTCGCTAAAACCCTGGGGCTGGCTGCAGCCCATTCCAAGTCATGTTCCTGCAGCGGCAGCTTCTAACGCTCCCTGGGTTCTCTCCAGTCCCAGCAGGTGCTGATTTCAGGTTTCTTAAGCGCGAGGGAAGCAAGTTCTCTTTGGGCTTGCAGAATCCTCACTTTCGCAAATACTACGAAGCCTAGCTGATAGTGACAGTCTAGACTAGCTCCATAGCTTTCTAGCAAGGCTCGCGCTCTAGGAAGGCCCGCCCCAAAGCCCCTCCCTAACCAATCGCCAGCTAGATCCCAAACGCTGGAGTTGGCATTCCTGCCACCCACTAGTCTGAGTTCCACTGGGAATATCAAGTGTTCTGGGAAGAAACCTCTTAAGCATATCAGATTTTATGCTATCAATTAAGTATGCTAGGCCCAGTGGGTAGAAAAATAATTCTATCAAAAGCAAATTGTAAGGATTTCAGGATTTGAAATTTGTAAAGATTCTATTTATCTTTTAAAATAAATGTATAGAAGATGATCCCAAATATTTTAACTTTTATTACTTGTATATGTCTCTGTGAGTGTATGCCACATTGTGCTCAGAGGCCAGAAGAGAGGGTGGGGGCCCTCAGAGGCAGAGTTACAGGTGGTTGTGAGGGGTGTGATGTGGGTGCTGGGAGACAAACAAGAGCCCTCTGAAAGAGCAGCGAGTGCTCTCGTGTGTGTGTGTGTGTGTGTGTGTGTGTGTGTGTGTGTGTGTGTGTGTGTGTATTACTGGCTGCCTGTCTAAACTGCTCCTAAATTAGAAAACACATTCAAATTATTTTTGTGACAAGTGGGTCACACTCTTTTTGAGTGCCACCAATGTGACTTAGCAGTTGAGGAGCAGAAGGCAGTTGGTAACACATTTTTACCTGTGTGGGGAGTTTGTGTGTTGAGTGTCATAACTGGCTTGTCCTATTGCACCTCTGTATTTTCATAAGGTTCCCTTCAGCCCTAACTAAATACCCTGCATCATATCTGAAGATCGCCAGTGGGGAGGCTAAACAGTATTTTCTCCTCTCAATGTTTCTACTCTTAGAATAATTTTCATTGAGCTTTAAAAATAAATCACATTAAATTCATGAGAACACTGTGGAGGGGAGTGACTTATGTGATATATTTCATACACAGTCATAAATTATATACATACATAATAATTTACATGCTCAACCCAAGATTGGTGGACATCTTGACACTGTCTTAAATACGCCTTATTCAAAACTGAGCTAGTCATTTGGAAAACTCCCTGAGTGTGTCCAGGTCCTACTTATGCTGATGCCTTGCAATTATTCTCACCCAGGTCTAGAAGATACGTGCAAGACTCCAAAACTCCAGGGCAGGTGGGGCTGCTAGAGGCATGGAGCCTGAAGGTTTGAATCACCAGGGAGGTACTACATATGAGAAGCAAATCTCTGTTGCATTGAACCACTGGGTTTGGGCGTTGACTATTCCAGAAATGAGTTATCGCTGACTAATTCAGATGTGAGAGAATTAGGGAGGTAGAAGAGAATTCAAGGAAGCAGTTATTGTATGTCCTTAAGGCATCAAATGGTAAAATGGAGTGTGGGAACTGCAGGGGGCATTAGGGACAGCACATGGAATAAGTGTGGGAAGGAAAGAAATGAGGCTGGCAGGTGGGGCCTGTACATACATATATGTGTGTGTATGTATGTATGTACATATGTAGGTATGTATGTATAATGTGTATGGGGAGCCTTGACTACAGACTAAGTGAGATGCAGAACTTCTGCCTCAAAAGTGCACTCATGCTCTTTAAAATCCCTTCATCATTTCTCATCTCTGCCTTGGGGTGTCACTGCCCACACCGCTAACCAGCGATCTGCCTCTGTCATTGTGTGTTAGGGCTTCTAAAGAGCTCTGCCTGGTTTACTGTTGTGTTAAATTAAATTATTCTCTGTCTTAGATATAAGTGCTTTTAAGACTTTTATTAATAGGCCTTATTTTTTGGAATAATTGTATATTTATTGAAAATCTAGCAGAGAATAAAGAGTGTGTGTGCATCCTCTGTGCAGCCTCCGAGACAGAATGCATGTGGCCGTTAGTGAACTGCTGACTAGTGCCCAGGGCGTATGCTAGTTTCCTTTAATCTCCATTTTGTTTCCCAAGATCCCACCAGGACACCTTGTTTCCTTGTTTTAAGGGCTTCCCAGGCTCCTCTGGGCTATGATGGCTTCTCTTCTCTTGTATTTCATGACCTTATTAGTCCTGAGAACTCTTCTAGGATGACATTCTCTAGGAAGTCAAGGCTCATGGGTTTGGCAAAGAAAGTCAATGTTGGCAAGTGCTGTTTTCACTACCTTGCGTCAGGTTCACAGTGAACAGGACTTGAAAGCTTTATGTGTAATTCTGCATGGGGGAGCACCCTTTACCCTCATTCCTACTTTATTCTGTCTTTGGTATGTACCACTATGGATACATTTTGTTCCTCAAGTTTCTTCAGCTTTGAGGACTGGGGACTCCTTCAGCCATCCTTTGTGTCAGTTGATGTATTTCACTATCATGTGTGGTCAAGATGGGTGGGCATGGAGTGGAGTGCTCTGAACACTTTTTTGGCTTTCTGGTATTACAAGCTTCTCCAGACATGTTTTGCATACTATCTATACCTTCCTAAAATAAGCCATTTCTATGGAAATTCACTCTATTTATTTGAAAAATATATGGTTTATAAACAAAGACTTTTATTACAGCTTATATAATGTGATCTACATTAGATTTTATCTCAGATTTTTTTGTATAATACTTTGATTTTCAACTCTATTATAGCATGTATCAATAATTTGCTCTCTGTTGCTAGGTAGAAATCCAATGAATGAATATACTATGGTGTATTTGCATATGCACCTGCTGATAAACAGTTGTATGATTTATAAGTTTTGCTAGAAATTTCCTAACAAAATGTGTATACAAGTCTCGTATACATATGTTTTCAGTTTTCTTGGATAAATGTTTAGAAATAAAATGGCTAGAACTATTCATGTGTTCTGTGGTCTGCTTATGATCTCCACAGAATTCATACATTGACTCTGTATTGCCAGCATGACAATCCTGTGAGGTGAGGCTGTTGGGAGAGCAATATGCTGTGGCCAGCTGCCTAGTCCCTCTTACCCCATGGGGACACAGTGAGAAGTACCATCTGTAAACCAGAGAGATTATTACCAGAAATTGGGTCTGCCACTTTGATGATACCCTGATTAGTGCTATAAATTCCTGTTGCATCTAAGCTGCACAGTGAGTGCACGGTGTTTTGTGATCGCAGACCCAAGGACCAACATAATAGGTGTACACAGAACTGTCAACTCACCTCCCACAGTGGCTATGCCATATCCCATTCTCCTTAGGGTGCTAGAATTCTAATTACGATGTAACCTGAAAAACAGTTGGTGAATATTTGTAATTCCAAAAAATATAAGAAGTATGTGATGAGATCTGAGTGGGGTTCTGGGTTTTCATTCCCTGTGTTTGTTTTCTGGGTATTTTCTTCCACATACCTCTGGGTCTGATCACATTGTTTATTGTCTTTTAAAAAATTATCTGCTTACAATGCTGAGACTAAGTGACAGATTTCCAGCATGGAGTGGGGAGGGCCTCCTAAGACTCAGTCCTAGCTAGGGGCTGTTAGCAGTTGGCAGCTACCGGGTAAAGGCCAGTCATTTGGGGTAGGTGTATGTCCATTTATAGGTTGCTCATGATCCCATGGGTGGCCTCACACTCACATACTTTTGGGCAGCACCAACTCAACTCACTGCATATAAAACCAAAGAAAAGACCATGAAGGGAGGAGGGAAGTTTGTTGGAGGTAACCAGGGAGAGTAAGAGGGATTTGAGAGGAAAGCTGGGATGAGTATGGATATGATCAAGTACATCGTATACATGTACAAACTTGTCATCGGAGAAATAATATATTATTGAAGAAACATCTGCTAATACAATTTTTAGTCCTTTGATGTGTATGAGACTGGGAAATACTACCTCCAAGCACATTCATGTTTAAGCTCTCCTAACAGTGTCTATTGGACATTTCCTTGTTTCTCGTTGTTGTAGGAGGGCCCAGCCCAGTCTGGGAGGTACCATCCTTAGGCAGGTGAGCCTGGCCTGTGTAAGAAACGTAGGTGAGCACGAGGCTGGCACAAGCCAGTAAGCAGCATTGGTCTGTGGTTTCTGATTCAGTCCCTGCCTTGGTTAGGTTCAGTGATGGAGTACAACCCTTAAGATGTACCAGCTCTTGGGTCAGTGTGTACGACAGCAACAGAGGAGCACACTAGGACTGTCATTTAGAGTTGGGTCTCCTCGTAGGTATTTTTATGTGTCTTGTGACTTGAGGTCATTCTGCGATTCTGTCATCTTCTGCGGACTCCTAACACACCAGGTTTTCTGCAAGGCTTTGCTACCGGTTTTGCTTTTAACAGCATTTGTGTAAACTTTGGAGGTAGTTTCTCTGTCTTCTGCCTTTCTTGAAAATTAATTTTCATTGTTATTTCATCCTTTTTATTCCCTTCCACATGATCTTTTGAACTAGTGGCATGATTCATAGCCAATCTGAAACCAGCATCTGGATGGGAGTTATAACATCATTTACAGCCTTTCTTTTCCTTATTATATGACTAGTTATTAAATGTGTTAAGCCAGGCTTTCCTTATTGCCAAAGTAGATTAGTTAATATCTGTTAAGATGCTATAGGAGCACACCATTGAGAGGTTGAAATTGGTGTTATGTCTCTCTCTCATACAAAGATAAAGCAAAAGAGAGAGAGAGACAGAGAGAGACACACAGAGAGAAGGTTGCTATCTGCAATCCAGGAAGCAAAGTCTCCTAATAAGCCAGCCCTAGGACCATGACCCTGGACTTGTAACCTCTAAAAACTGTGAGAGACACAAGAACTGTGGGGAAAATCATCTGCTTAGAGGTATTTTGCTATAATAACCCAAACCGTGCTCACTCTAGATTATAATCTGCTAATAATAATGAAATTGACAATGATCCAAGTCCATGTCTTCCTAAAAGAGAAGTAGAAGGATTCATTTTGAGTTGATAGGGACTTTCCAGAAGGGAAAATATAAATCTCCTCTTCAGCTATACTCTTATATCCTTGCATTGAGTAGATTTACAAATATTTGTTTCCATATAGCAATAAAATAGCTCATCATGCATATGGTTATTTAGCATTTGTAGCAAATTGCCATGGACAGAAATCCTGTGTACCCTGCAAATCCATCTGCTGAAATGTCCTCGTCAACATGATGTCAACGGGAGGTTGAACTTGTGGGGACAGAGTTTTGTGAGTGAGTTGACTGTCCTTGTAAGAGACCCAGGAGATCTCATTCCTCCTGGCCTGTGCATAAATAGCTTGGTGGTACCATCTATGAATACAGACCCTCAACATGAAATTCCACTGTCTTGACCTTGTACTTGCTTCCATAACCACGACAAATGAATTTCTGTGGTTTACATACACCCCTGTCTAGAGTACTTTATTATATAGTGGCCTGGATGGACTGAGATACTCTCCCTATTTATGCTGTTACAAATGTCATCATAGTCACAGAGCCCTGTGCTATTGAGGTCTGGGCTGCAAGAAGAAGGAGGAGGAGGAAGAGGAGGAGGGCAGGGAAAAAGAGGAGGAAGAGGAAGGAGACCAATAGAACTAGGAAGAGGTTAACAATGGGTTTCTCCACTGTCTCTGAATGTTAGAAGTCAGCTTACTCTTCTGATCCTTAATCCATCACTAGAAGGCTTTTCCTAAATGTGTCTGTTTCTATGTGAATTTACCCATCTGAAGATAAAGCAAGAACTTTTATCCAAACACAGAGTAAATAGAGTATGAGCCTCCTCAATTGTATATCACACATGTAGATCTATTTAGATATGTGTGTGTGTATATATATATACATATTTCAAAGAAAGTCTCTAAATAGTGTGCTTTCTGAACTTATGCCAGCGGTTTAAATTACAGGTGTTTAGGAGGCAATCATGTCAAATGAAGCAAAGAAACCATTTAAAACAAAGGCTGAATTTTTCACTAAATTTGGTGTTTACAGATACTTTATGATTTTGGTAATGCTGACTCCATCAAATAAGGTGACCTGGCTTGAACGCCACCAGGTGGAGAGCTGAAAGCAAGATGAGAATGTGTGGAAACGTGCCCTCCACTTCCTGTGTCTCCCTTACAAATACCTAACTTTGCACCCTTGTTTGTCGCTCTGGGTTCTTCCACAGCAGGAAAGACACATACGCAAAGGTCCTGTTCTAGATAATCAGAACAGAAGACACAGCCAAGCACCCAATGGGCACTTAACCAATCCACAGGGAAGGAAGGAGGGTCAACGGGGCACCAGGGGTTTTTGAGGAGAGAAGATACTAATAACTGGAA